ATGCATAGTACCAACAGTTACAAACATTCAATATTCCACTGCTGCATGCATAGTACCAACAGTTACAAACATTCAATATTCCACTGCTGCATGCATAGTACCAACAGTTACAAACATTCAATATTCCACTGCTGCATGCATAGTACCAACAGTTACAAACATTCAATATTCCACTGCTGCATGCATAGTACCAACAGTTACAAACATTCAATATTCCACTGCTGCATGCATAGTACCAACAGTTACAAACATTCAATATTCCACTGCTGCATGCATAGTACCAACAGTTACAAACATTCAATATTCCACTGCTGTGTATGACTGAAATTCAGCAGATAGCTATCCATCTATGCTGATTCTCTTGAGTCAATCATAGTGTCTGTTTAAAGGCAAGAGTGTAATGGGGTTTTTAGTCTGTTCATTAAATTAAACCCACTTTCACATGCATAAGTGCTTGGGGACAGAGACAAATGAACTTCAACAAAAAAATAATGTTTATAATATTCTCTGTGTATATATAGCAAGCACATTGCAAGTATTCTATTTCATTTTGTTTTCAGTTAATTCTAGAGCAATGCACCACTCATTATGAGCCCAGTTTTTAATTCATCACTTAAAACATCATCTGCAATGGCCAGATCAAAATTAAGTGTTATGCGGTGGATGTGAATGAGATAGGGAACATCTTCCATAATTCATGTCACAACATGAGGTTTTTCCTCCTGTTTACAGCTGTGCCAATCACATTCAAACACATTGCTTTCTTTACCCATTGCCCTTCATTTAATTTTATATCTTGTAGAGCTTTAATAATAGCTTCATGAATACCTTTTGCATTGGAACTTTCTACATCTATTAAAGATAGGTTTACCAACATGCATGTAGCAAGCATAAACAATGTCTTCCTCTACCATGTTGGTCTTTACTCTCATCTGCCATTACACATACAAACTGAGCCCTTCCAACTACATCAATAATTTTAGCTTTAAAACTTCCTGTAAGTGTTTAATAAATTCCTTGGCACTCTTATCACTAAAATAGTTTTATCCATTTTTCATCTGCAGTGACTTGTTTTCGTGATTTCAAGAAATAGGAACAAGTTTCAAATTTTGTACCATATCATTTTATGTTCTTCACTTTATTCAAGCCATGTAAACTCTTGTTGCCATTCATTCTGAGCAACACACACATTCTTTTACCTCCACGATTGTGTTCTCTATTAAGTTATTGTTCAGTTTCTGTTTGAGTAATAATAGAACATTCTTTGACACATGAATGACATGTAGAAGAGAAGGCTCATAATCTTGTTATAGATTAACAGGCATAACCTTAAAGAAATTCTGAATATCTGTTGTACCTAGGTTAAGTTACTGCATAACATTTTATGAATTATGACATTATCCTTTTATATGTCAGTTTTTCAGGAAAAAAAATATGTCCAATACAGTATCATGTAAATAAAGTAACTGAAAAATAACAACATCAGCCAAAGTAGTTTTTATGAAAAGTGTGCTTGATGATATAAAATACTATTCAAAATAAACTTTAGAGAATGATCCAAATTTTCTGTATCTCTGATGAAACACTTTTGTTATTTTTGTCTTGTTTCAGTAATTAGCAGTAAATACAGTACAGCTAGAAGATCCTTTTCACTCCTATCATAGAATTTCCACCAGTAACAGCTCAACAAACAATGAAATCTAAATTCTCTGCTGTTTATGCATATACATGAAGATGCAACACTGAAATATGCGAGATGCTGGAAGTGATGTGGACACGAATGTGGAAATTTAAATCTGTGATAACACAGTAATTACTTACTTTTGATTAAGGGCAATGACAATTTTTAGGTGACCAACTCAGGTATGTAACCTATTTTTTTTATGTGCCTTGGCTATGTCGGGAAATACAACTCTCGAGCACTGCCCATGCATCATGGAAATACCTACTTATATCTGCAGGCCATGGTAGTATACACCCTTATCTACACACATGCCAGTAAAATCCAGTTACATCATCAAACAAACCAGTGGAGTCCACTTGCATCCCTACAGATCCTGGTATATTAACACACTCATGTCCTTACACATTCATTTACTTTGTATAAGTCATTCATTCCTTGCATGTATCAATCAGACCTACTCGCATCTCCACATACACTAATGCAACTTATGTCTACATCATACACCCTAGTGGAACCCCTTCAACATACAGTACCAATAGATCCAGGTAAAACTTATTAAAACCTCAATATCTATGTATAACCTACTTACATTTTCAGATATCTCGATAGAAATCACAAATATACTCACAGATTGTGAATGAAACCAACTATATCATATTTTGGCATAATCCACTCGATTCATGACATATTCTACTACAAATCCTACATATACAACTTGGTAGAACAACACACCTGGTGGAAACTTATGAAATCTGTTGTAAATCTTTTAACCAGTAGAATGTATAAACATTCTAGAGATTTACATATGTGTGTGTATATATTAGATGCTTAGCTTTGTGGATTATATATATCTATGAATATAAACACATATCTAAGTATCACTCATCAAACAATTTTTATATACTTAACATGATAAAACCTACAAATAATCAACCAAAAATTTCACAAAACTACAGAATCGTAGACTTCACACATATTCAAGATCGAAACTTTTATACACAAAAACGCAGCCTAGAAAAAGCTATAAACACAGTAATACATGGGATAGTGAGAAAGTATACCATGTTTACAGGTTACCTGTTGAATCCTATAAGCCACATCTAACTTGAAAGAACCCACACATGATCTATAGAGATATCTAGCTTGTGGGTGCCCATACACGAATCGATAAACCCTCTCACACCCATACAATTCAGGTTTCAATGGTTTACACAAAAAGCATATACAGTTGTCTTATGGGCATATGTGCAGAGTGTATAAAATCTGTACTAGCTCCATGGAAATCATTACTTAAAGTAAAATAGCTATATACATCCAGGCATTTATTATGAGAAGTTATCACACTTGTTAACCTGTATTAAGTGACATCCATTAGTTGTCAGTTCTTTAAATCGATAGCAACGTGCTGCAAAGTTCTCATTATATTTCGTTCCAAGATAAAAAAAAGTGGATAAGATTATTTAAAACTTGACAAAAACTTTGAGAAAAATAAAATATTTAATTTTGTTTTTTCTAGTACTTTTAATAAAAATTTATTATCAAATTTAAGTATTTACATTCAGACACTGAATAGTTCACCTGCAAGTTGATTTTCATTTTCAGTATAAAAATACTATTTATTATCTTACAGTTTTCACATTTCACTTGCATAATCTCTAGAACCTCCTATATGAATAGAAAAAGTTTATTTAAGGTCAATGTTTATATTTTATATTCCACTTTCTCTACAATATCACCAACTCTAGCTATTATCATCAACATACAGTGCAATGAAATGCTTAACATTAAGAAATAGAAGTATGCAAGTACTTTTTAATTGAATAATCTTAAAATATCTTCTTTGGGTTATATGTGTAATTTAACGTTTTTTCTTTTTTACTTATAGTTTATTTTTAATGTTTCATTTCTCTTTCTTATTCTTTACCATTGATTATTTATGTCGACACATGCCAACGGGTAACCGCAGGCGATAGAACAGTAGAGATACCTTAGCCTCTGGCAAAATCTTTTTATACACACTTGGTAATGAAGCCTTGCAAAAATGAGGGGAAGGTTTGGATATTTTATAAAATTTATTAAACCTTTCAAATATGAATTTTAAAACACAGATTATGCATAATCAATTAAAATATATAAGTAAAACCTAAATACAATTTAACTGTCTTTCTAACTATAACATATTATAAAAACACTGAAGTGCTATAGTAGAACAAAGCAG